TTATAATTTAATTTGACATTTGATAATAAATTTTTATAATTGACTTCAGTTCATTAAAGATATCTTCTCTACATTTAATCGTTTACCTAATTTATGCTTATCAAATTTATCTATGGTATTGAGCTGTCTTTTGATATAAGTCACTCTGGTTTTATATTATGTTTTCTCATAGTATTTCTTGTGAACAAGTGTCGCTGTCATGCATTCTTTTAAAAATTTATTTAATATTTGTGAATTAAATTTAAAATTATCAATTTAATACTATACGATATCCTTTATAATTACTTCTTTTATACTCAGAGTCTTTATATTAACAATTTTATGCTATTTTATTGTTTGTTATATTAATAATTAATTTTTATTTTTGGACGAAAGTTCGGTACGGTAATTTTTCAATCGTGATTTCTGTTTACATTTTCAATTCATTACAATATATATATATATACTGAATTACATTATTGTTTATATTTTTTAAGTAAAACAAAGTATTGTTCGTTATTTAACTCTAACGATGACCACATGCACTTGAAATAACACATGTTGAGTGCCCCTTTGTTAGACCAATTTACTACTGATAGGTGCTTACCTAAGTATATAATTTATTACTCCCTGTCTTTTTTTATCGATTTTATTAAAAAATATATAAGAAGTTAAACATTTAAACGAAGAGAGCAGCTTAATAGTTATTTTTAGAATTCATTATTTTCTCTAACTTTCATGAAACTCTTTTCTATTCCAAAAAATATATCTGTTTTGTTTTCCACCTGAATAGTTTTTATATGTTAATAATTTTATAGCATGTAGCAGATCTGTTTTTTTAGTCAGTATAGTATGAATTGTTTGCTGGTTTTAGCACTAACTACGCTCGACATAATTACACACAATTATGCATCAAAAGACAACTATAATCGTAAAAGAAATCGTTCGATTACAGGGAAATCGGTGAATAAATCGAGAGCTAGGCAGCTCGCACGGTTGACTGACGGCGCCAATGACTAGCGGACCGATTGTGACAGCTCTATTGATGATAATATCCGAGTATAGTACCATACTAACATTGCTGCAGTCACAATGAAAGGAAAATACATAATATTCAGTTGTATTTATTACTAAAAGAAGAATCACATTTGAGTCACATATTAAGCTACATAGTAACATTTGGCAATGTTACTCGGGATAGATTTAAATATTACAGAGAACTGTAACCTGTATTATTAAAAAATATATTTGTTTGCTATTTTTGGGCAACTTTTACTAAGGTAAATTTTTAGTAGTAGGCTTCTTATATCAAGACATTTCTCATCATAAAAGTTAATCTCAAAGTTCGTAAACATCTTGTATATTATCCAGATTTGAACCCTAGTGACTCCTGAGTCACTCATAAAATAAGTCGTCTTAAAAAATAGGAACATATAAATAGTGTTTCTTGTAACAAAGAACGACGTAAACCATCAAGCCAATTATTTCACTCTTAATTAGAAATTTCCCTTAAACGAAATTATTGAAGTGATTTATGTAAAAGCGGTCTCATTCTTTTATAAAATTTTTATCAGGGAAACTTCTTCAGACTAATTTCTACTCGGGCGGGATTTCTGTAGCACTTTTTATCGTCTCCCGATTCCGAGCAAAATAATATCAAGCAATTAGACCACCTGTAATTAGTGTGGATGAGGTAATGAGAAAGGATCTACCGCAGATACGTACTCTGAGATTTCTTTGTCTTTTGAACAGCTTTTACGCGTTCATTAAAACTTCGCCGATGAATTTAATGTGGCCGCAAAATTAAAAAGGGCATATCGTAATTTTGGCAGAGAACAAGTGAAGAATAATAAGGGAGGAGGAGTTTTCGATTGCAGTATAAAGAAGAAAACTTGATTATAGTCTGTTTAGAAATGAAAGAGAGTAATAAAAGCTTATTATGTATGCAAATCGTAAATAAATGTAGTACTGGTGCTTATATTCAATATTTTTATATTATGCATTTTCGGTATAGATGAGGTGTACTTTTAAAAAAACTTTGTGCGATCGGACTGTACTAAATTGTAGCAGGTAGCTAAAATTTAATCCCCGACAATCCGTCTTTGTCTATGCCGCTTCAATTTCTCGGTCCATTTCTCTTATAAGTAAACAATATAAAAACAGCATTTCAAAACATGAGGCTACTTTAAGCATCATAACCGGGTTAAGAGGGTTTTTAGTAATTCAAATAAAATTATTCAATATTATTATCAAAATATTTATTTAAATTTAATGAATAGACTTTTATTCCACACAAAAATATATGTATTTTGAAAATTCAAATTATGGTGAGTAAATGTAGTGTTGTATAAATGTACAATAAAGAAAATAAAAAAGTAGGTATATTAAAATTCATCCTCTGAATATTCTGATGAATTATCTTCGTCTCCTAGATTGATAACGATAGGTTCCACAGTAACGTCAATTAAATTATCGAGTTCCCACATTTTCTCCTCTTCTTTTTGTACATGATGTATACATCTTTGCCAGTTATCTGCAGTTACTCGTTCCAAGGAATTTTTTAACAAAATTTTCACGTCACTTAATTTAAACGTCGTATTATTTCGCGCTACATCTCCTTTTACCTGCGCCCAGACTAATTCGATTGGGTTAAGTTCACAGTGATAAGGTGGTAACCGTAGTACCGTTATTTGGCGATTTGTTGCCATTTCATCGATAACATATTTTTTCTGATCTTTATTAAGATTGACAAGTGTCAAAAGTTCCTTTTTCACCATATTTGTTTCAAAAGAAATGTTTTTTCCGGATAACCATTGAATTATATCGGCTTTCCTCCAAGCAGTCGTAGGCGTCCGCTCGGTCTGCCGTGAATGGTAACTGGCATTATCCATGACAATTACAGACCCCGGAGGAATAAGATCCAACATCTGTGTAAAATACTCTTCGAAAACATCTGCGTTCATGTCTTCGTGATAGTCACCTGTATTTTTAGATTCAAATAAAAGTAAACCGCCATCTACAAAACCACTGGCACTACCTATATGTGTCACTATTAATCTTCGCCCTTTACCTGAAGGTGCCTTGAACCCTGTTGAAAGTCCATCCAAAAATGCTTGTCGAAAACTTTTTACATTTTTATCTTGCCATACTTTTGTTACAGTATATCCCTCGTTGACCCAAGTTTCGTCTAGATAATAAATATTCCTCCCTTCGTCACGGAATTTTCTAATTGATCTTAAGTAGGATCTTCGCCAACAAATAATTTCATCTTTATCGATAAGAACTGACTTCCTGTTCTGCTTTTCCCAGCAAAAATTCAACTCTCGTAAGACGGCCCATAATTTGCTTCTACTGATTTTTGGCAAATCGTTGTCCTCTGAAAGTTCACTTAAAATTTTGTTTAGCGTTGGTATTTCTTTTTTAAAATAAAATGAGTGTACTTTTCTGCGAATGACATTTTTGAAGAAATCATCTATAACGACTTTTGACCTCCCTGTAGATGATTTTGGGGGATTTACAGTATCTTGTTCATTTTTTGTTTCCTTTAAAAGTCTGTAGATAGTCGATTTTCCAATCCCTGTCATTTTGGAACACTTTTCCACGATGTCGTCAACACTGTTGGTAGGATTTTGGTGTTTCAATGCATTAAATACATTTAATATAATAATCTTCTCATTCTGAGACAGCGCACATCTTTTCACGCGTTTAGCAGGTACGTAATCTGATAAGCTCGACATTTTACCCAAACAATATTATATCCACTGGCACAATAGTCACTAAACACAAGTCGAATTTTACTCTACTGCACTAGCACGTCTTCGTATATTCAGCTCTAAGACTGGATTGATCTGTCACAATACACTGGCTCCTGCCCTATGATGTATCCAGTAAAATATACTAATGTACACCCATTACTTGTTAGCATTAGTATTACCCGATAATTACCTGAAACGAAATATTACCATGCCCATGGCGTGTTCTTATCTCGGGGTTTTATTACTCTCTTTCATTTCCAAACAGACTATAGGATATAATATTTGTCGTTTAAGTATTTTCTGTACTTACTATTGTTTTAGATATCCATCTTTGGCAATTTGTTATTGAGGTCCACGTTGAAGGCGAGAAATAATAATATCAATATCTAAAACACTGTTGTAACTAAAGACCCAGAATGTATTAAATGGTTTGGATACCGGTTCCTATGAATACGCCATAATTCTTAAAACTGTTGCGTTAAGGATACATGACACATATAATTTTTTTTGTTTATTTTGATCTATACTGTCACTTATTAAATTAAAATGCAATTGTCTCAGAAAACTGAGTTTTAACAAATCTGTATCCAAGAAAAAATAGTTATAGATTATCTACCGATAAATTTGTCTAACGCATACCAGCTATTCAAGTGTCAAATAACCAACCAAATTACTGTAAGTGGGGACACACACAGGAATTAATATCTTCTTGGAATACTCCAGAGCTTTAACGTATTGTTGTTGGGCATACGGCCAATGTGCCATATTCTCGTTTAATAGAGTCATTAGGTGTACTAAGCTTACAACCACAGATTATAAACTGCGGGATATAACTCTTGACCCCACGTAAATTTATGTCACTTAGCATTGCCATAAAGACCTGATGGTTAACAACAACATTTATGGGAACAAGTTATGAACAAGAAACAAAACAATTAATTACGTACTTTAATACACTGTATGATGAATATCTAGAACCTAACAGTAGTAATTTGTGCAACGATGTGCTCAGCTCGCTACGACTACAAACATTGAGGTTAAAACTTATAGGTGCTTTTGTTTCAAATAATCTAAGTGACCCCAAAGTCTATCGAGGTAATGTTAAATACCTACTATTGTTTAGCACAATTCTGGTTATCTATCTGCTATAAGCCAATAATATATTATACAAATAAGCGAAAAGTTTTTTTATAGTGGAATTGCTACATATTATTTAATCAAATTTATAATTTTTGGAGAAACAAAATGCAATAGTATTGGTGAAAATTGAGTTGTCTACCTAATCTAAGTAAGTTAAGAAATCGTTTTTCTTTCTTGAATTTTATTGCGAAAAAAATGGCGATTTATATTCTTCAGAAAATTGCTCCTGCAACAAAAAATACAAATTTAATTATTCAGGATTTGTAAAAATTGAGGAAGCTACCGCTTACATTCCGATTGACAAGTGCATTTCAAACAAAGAGCACATCCAAGCTCGACCTTAATAGAAAGATACATTTAGTAAATTTAGCCGTTTAAAGAAATAGACAAACTTTTGTTCAAATTATCCGTAAGAGACATTCATTTAATTTCATCACAACTTTATTCTGCCTTGCTTTTCTCGGGAGTTACATGCCAAAAAAGTATCGTAACATATTTTTCTAGTATAATAAAAACGGAGGAAAAGCTTTGAACAATATGGCAGAAGTTCAGACAAAAGATATTACACGAGCAGAACAGGATGAGAGTATAAAATTAACCTAATAACGCGAAAGATTAAGGGTGATTTAATCTTGCCATCAGAGGACAGCTATCATTTTTTCGTTAAGACAAAAAGGGAAAAACTTCTTAAGTTATGTACACAATTTTAACAAAATGATACCAACTGTAAGTAGCTTAAGAGTTCCATACACGTTCCCTTTTTTTTAAGATAAAAACTGTGTTGGTAGACATTCGTAATATGAATTTTTACAACTATTGATACACTTTACATAATAAGAGGTCTCCTCCTATATACGATTATCAATTTTAACCAAGCGAAATATGTCATTTTTAAATTCATTACCGATAATGTATGTAAATCTCCATCAATAAGACCGTTACTGCTGCCGTCAATCCTCCTGCTAGAACCACAGCGGCAGGATAACAATCTACTATGCCCACGCTGATGAAGCTCGATCCCCGAGACGTGCAAACAGGCTTTTTTGTATAGATTAGGCCCACTTCGCGAGATTGGAGACCGCTTTCTTGGATCTTCCGTAAACTAGAAGGGATAAACGGTCGTTAAAAATGGACCAGTCTAACTAATAAAATAAAGAAAATATTGCTCCGTATAAATATTCTGCAGGAATTGCAAAGTACAGAATATATTTACATAATCTTGAAACTTTTTTTTTAATTAAAAAGTGTACGTGTTCTCCAGAAATACTAATCTGAAATTAGTTTTTTTTTAATTTCAAATTTTGAATAAAAAATATTTGTCTTGGCCAATGACATCTGACTTTGATCTAATTAGTAGAGAACTACACTACAATTACTTTACATATTCCAGCGAAAAAAACAATTGCATGCAGTTACTGCATGATCATAAAAGTAGACAGCGACGTATATAAAAGTGAAAGCAGTCACCATTAAAAAGTTGATAAATTCTAAACAAAATACATTATGTTTTTACTATTTTTTCTTATTCACCCACTTCATCAGTCAAAACTGTGCTAAACATCTTAAATTATTCTGAAACAACATAAAACAACAACAAAAGTGGGCCGCGAATGATACGCACGAATTCAAACTATTGTACGTTGTGAAGTCTGGTTCCGTATGAAAGCATGTCTTTAGCTGGGGTTGATGATAATTCAGCAGCCACACGTGCTTGGCCACTGTTTACATTATTGTTATTTATACGCAAGTCTACTTTACACCTAGCAAAGTGGAAGATGTGCAAAAAACACACGGCCAATGTTAATTTAGCCTAATCAGAATGACCCAATAGATCACCGCTTCATTTTATTACATGTATTTTAGTTCTCAGTTTGTCGATCTACGAGAAGCCATAACAGGTACGTAATTTCGCGACTTTCTTATGTTTTTATTGAACTAACTTCAACAACATGTGGACTTTAGTCAGCCCAAACATTTGTATTTACCCTATCTTTAACAACTTCTTGTAGGAAGAATTCTTCTGGATTGCCAGCCATGGATCTGTCACTTGCAAAAACTGAATTTCCTGTAGCCCACACTTTTCATGTTCTTGGAAAATCTCGGCTGAAATCACCAGTTTTTTTAAATATTCAAAGCTTAATCAGAAAAGTACACACCAACTATTTTATAGCCTGGCCCAGTTTCCATGTGAAAAGCAAAGAGTCCTTCCCTCAGCCGTCTGACACCCTCCTCTATGGGCATGAAATTATCTTTCTTACCTGGTGGAGATACCTTTTGCAAGTATATGGCTCTTCTTGTTGGTTCTGTTGAATTCTACAATACAACAAACAATAATTCACTTCTTAAAATGGCTTATATTTGCTTACTGGAAAATAAAATCTGTTGAAAACAGTATCATCCACTCCAATCTGTAACCTTGAGTGTAGAAGGTCTTCCAGAGTTTTGATACTGTTAGAAGAAGATTGCAGAAGCGCAACTATGTTAGCCGAGTACGAAGTGTAGAGAAACATTAGTGAAATGAACATGATAATAGTCGTTATCCTTCCGGATACGCAAGCAGGGATTGCAGCTGCTCCTTGCTGACATAGTGCGCCAAATGACAAAACGGCAACGTCGGATATGGAATCCCTAAGTTCTGGATAAGAAGTATCCTAGAACACAATTACTTTAATCTAGTAACTAACTTTATTAGAAGTATAAATCTCTTACTAACCTCCATCTTATCATGTTTTGATTTCTGCCATTCCCATTTGACAGTAACGTACAAGAAAATACCTACGGTAATCACTAAGAATATTGTGGAGAGCCACACGTGGTAGTCAAAAGGAAGGGTGTAAACATTAGAGACGTAAGACAACTTCGGCTGTCTAAAAACAAATTTTGATCTAGTAGGCGTCGCCATGGCAATGTAATCGATAATATTAATCCTGTCGATTGTGAAAAATAATGCAGTGCCTAAAAAATAAACATGGAATTTATTAAAATTACATTTAACTACCAGTGTCTTATTTTTTTACCTCCTATGTCTGCTTCGTTTCTAGTAAGTTCTCCAATCATACCACTCCATTCTGATTTCTTGTTTTTGTATCCCCAGGTTTGTTGGACAGAGTAATTGAACGTGGCATTTATTATATCTTTTAAGTGTTCCACAAGCACATAGTTCACCTTGGATATGCTATCAATATGTTTGTCTCTGTAAATTTCATGTTATAATTTTCTGAAGATACTGATAGCAGTACACTACCTTTTATCTGTTAAATGATATAAAGAATTTTTTTGAGTAATAACAAGGCAAGTATTAAGTTTAGTGCCTTTCAGATCTTGCCTCCTTCTAGCAGTATCCTTTTCAAATCCACTATCGGAAAATCCCTCATTTTTAGTCCAGTAACCCATTTCCTCTATGTTAATACTGTAATTACTACGGTTCTTATACAACTTTTTTATCCGCACTGTACCATTGGTTTTGAGTTCACACAAAGTGACATCACTATCAACTAAAATATTTATTTCAGAAAAGAACGTTTTCGCCAAAGCTTCTGTTTCTGTGTCGTACGAATGATGGATTATCCATCTGAATGGTGCTCGGAAAAAATTAAGTTTATCTACCTGTAAAATAGTGGATTTATACAGAATTATCAAATTATTTCAATGTTTTTCATAAATATGGCACTTACTCTTTGCAATAATCGGCTAGAGTTTTCACAGTGAAGGTTTAATACAAATACTTGACGATTTGGAGGAATTGGGTATTCGATGTCCTGGGAATTTATTTGTAAAATTTTGCTCTGGTAACCATTTAGCATAAGTTTTTTCAAAAGAGAGAAAGATTCTAAAATAAAATTTAACATGTGTATACATTAGTTTAAATCATGTAGTAAAACAGAAATTTAAATTCGTAATTTGAAATGGCCTTTGGAGGTTTGTTAATAATTATTTTATTGTAGTAACCTGTTTTAAGATTTAAATTTTGTACAAATTTAAGTAATTCTTAAGAGAAGAAGAGATGTCAAGGTCAAATGTGTTGTGTTCTTAGATTAGTTTCAGTGATCAGAGAAAGGAGAGAAGAAGATATGTGTTGCGAGAAACGCCGTTGTACTTGAAAAAATAAAGTAATTTTAAGAAAAATATTGTATGTAGTTCCTAGAGCGACTTCTTCGATATATCTGCTACATTATAATAATTTAATTTTAAAAACTGCAATTTTAATGTCAAGGGACTTAAAAACGGTCTAAAATAGTGTGTGTAAGGAAGGTGCATTTCATTTCCACTCTTGCACACCCTCGGGTTTCTAAAAGCTTTCAATTCTTCGAATATAGTTACTCTTGTGTCTATATCACTGTCTTCAAGCTTAGCCTTGCCTAGCTCAACTTTTAAGGTCTCCTGAGTACCTGAAATATAGAAGCTTCTATAGAAGCTTGCTTATATTCCTTGGAGTCTTCACTGCAAAATTGAACAATGTCTAGATGTATGGGGCGCTAGAACTGAGGTTCAATGTGCTCGGAAAAATGAAAAAGTGAAAATTTTCTAACCTTACGAATTGTAAAAATCTGCGATTTATTGATAAAATAAATAAATCTGTAATTGACCTGCAGAGGCAGTGCAAATAACAATAAATTTGGGGTGTACTACATGTATTGACCAGGTTATGTTCCTGGTTGTTCCTATATTGTAACAACAGCAAGCCATCAGAGTCAACAGTCCTTAATAGATCCGCAGAGGTCCCGTAGCGTCCGCCCTAGGTTCGGACAATTGAAGGGTGTCCTGTTCAAACATGCTAAGTGCTAAAATATTTAATTTTGAGATTTTTGTGTACAAACATTCTGTACCATTAGTTATGCCCCGCAAAAATTCTAAGTGCCATCAGATGTCATTGGCAAATTATTTTCAATTGGGTAAGCACGTGTTAGAAGTTTTTTAACGTTTTGTGATGGAGAATAAAAGAAAAAGAGGCAGTGGCCGATTCAGGGATGAACAGAATAAATTAAAAGTGGCAGGAATGGAATACAAAACTCAGCGTAATAAAACAATACCTAAAAGCCGGAACCTAAATTACAGGTAGGGTAGGTTAAATTTTTATTGCACGTATCTAAAGGTCCACAATAGTGACTGATTTTAATTTTATAGAATTACGAAACCATAAACATTATGATCGTCTATTAGGACATTTTATTTGTACGTATATTTTAGTATACCTAATGAGCGCAAATGAGTAATGAAAGCTATGGTTCCTCGTGATTTGCATGATGTTATTAGATCTGCTAAATATAACCCGCCTTTTGAAATCATAGATATGGAATCTTTTGGATTCTGGAATCTTAAGGAGGCCGCAGAAAACCTCATGGACACTAAAAAACTTAATATAAGTAAGGCGATCATGATTTGTATTGATAAAGAAAATCCCACAGTAGTACAGGTAAAGTACTCTTACATCAATATGGACACTTGGCAAAAGATACACGTTTTAAAGAGAAACAAAACTATTGAAGTTATAAGAAACATAAACTTGAAGCTTTTACCCCTAGGAGGTAAGATATCCGAAAACAAACAAAAATCTTAAGGTCAATGATAGATTTTCTTGAAAAAAAAAAGAACATAGGGAGTTCTACCGAAACTTGTTAAAATAAGAAAAAGTATAAAATATAATGTTTGTAAACTTTTTTTGCTAACATGAAGTTAAATAGTTATTTTTAGTTGTCTTTCATTTATTGGTATAATATTTAATACTTAATAAATATTTAACTTTTCTCATATATGGCACTTAGCANTGTTCGCTGTCCACACATTGTGTATATGAGGTTGCATATATTAAGGAGCGTAGCTCGCGTCGCAATAAATAATAATATAAGCTCCTAGATTTATTTTAGCGCGAGTACATTTGGATTCTTTAAAGATTTTGTTGATATTTAATATGATTAAATACATAAAATTTTATGTGTTCTGCAGCTCCGCAGCTCTTATGGTAAAACCGCCACTGGGTGTACTACATGTATTGACCAGGTTATGTTCCTGGTTGTTCCTATATTGTAACAACAGCAAGCCATCAGAGTCAACAGTCCTTAATAGATCCGCAGAGGTCCCGTAGCGTCCGCCCTAGGTTCGGACAATTGAAGGGTGTCCTGTTCAAACATGCTAAGTGCTAAAATATTTAATTTTGAGATTTTTGTGTACAAACATTCTGTACCATTAGTTATGCCCCGCAAAAATTCTAAGTGCCATCAGATGTCATTGGCAAATAATTTTCAATTGGGTAAGCACGTGTTAGAAGTTTTTTAACGTTTTGTGATGGAGAATAAAAGAAAAAGAGGCAGTGGCCGATTCAGGGATGAACAGAATAAATTAAAAGTGGCAGGAATGGAATACAAAACTCAGCGTAATAAAACAATACCTAAAAGCCGGAACCTAAATTACAGGTAGGGTAGGTTAAATTTTTATTGCACGTATCTAAAGGTCCACAATAGTGACTGATTTTAATTTTATAGAATTACGAAACCATAAACATTATGATCGTCTATTAGGACATTTTATTTGTACGTATATTTTAGTATACCTAATGAGCGCAAATGAGTAATGAAAGCTATGGTTCCTCGTGATTTGCATGATGTTATTAGATCTGCTAAATATAACCCGCCTTTTGAAATCATAGATATGGAATCTTTTGGATTCTGGAATCTTAAGGAGGCCGCAGAAAACCTCATGGACACTAAAAAACTTAATATAAGTAAGGCGATCATGATTTGTATTGATAAAGAAAATCCCACAGTAGTACAGGTAAAGTACTCTTACATCAATATGGACACTTGGCAAAAGATACACGTTTTAAAGAGAAACAAAACTATTGAAGTTATAAGAAACATAAACTTGAAGCTTTTACCCCTAGGAGGTAAGATATCCGAAAACAAACAAAAATCTTAAGGTCAATGATAGATTTTCTTGAAAAAAAAAAAGAACATAGGGAGTTCTACCGAAACTTGTTAAAATAAGAAAAAGTATAAAATATATTGTTTGTAAACTTTTTTTGCTAACATGAAGTTAAATAGTTATTTTTAGTTGTCTTTCATTTATTGGTATAATATTTAATACTTAATAAATATTTAACTTTTCTCATATATGGCACTTAGCATGTTTCTAATAAGATTTTTTTAATTTTTTTTTGTTTTAGGAAAATTTAAAGAAATACATTTATGGGAAATAAATAAAACAGATATTTTTAGTAAGTAGGTACTAGTAAAAAGTTAAAGTTAAACTAATGTTTATATCACCCTCTTTAAAATAGCCCTTAAAAAAATGTTTTTTGAAGGTATCTCGGTTTTTTAATTTTGGCGCTTAGCCTATTTGAACCGGATACCCTTCAATTGGCCTCTCTGGATTTTATCCGTCTTTGGATCGTTGCCGAATGGAACTGATAATTGACTCGTAGTCTGACGTGGTACTTTGGTTATGTCTTGCAGTTCGTCAGCTCGAATTTCGTATTAGGAAACTTTTCAGTTTTTGAAATTTGAAACTGAGACGAATTTTCTACTTTAGCAGCGCGTCGTCGAGGGTTGCTCTGCGGACAATATCAGCCTCTGGTCGTGTCATCTGCTGCGGCTTCGATGTTTGCTGGAAACTTTATAAGAACTTCAGCGGAAATTTTTGGAAACTTAGTTAAAAATGTTAATTTCTGTACCGCGCCTTCTACATCTCGTGGAAGGTAATTTGAGTCCCTTTGGACATGTATCTCTACTTTAGCCGGAGTTGGCCCTGCGTAGAGTGCTTTAAGACAGCTTTGTGGTTCCCATTAAAAAGTTTAGCGAAAATGTGAAATCAGCTCGTGACTTGAAATACGACAATAACTAGGAATCATTTTTACGATTTATTCATACTTTACTTAAAAAGTAAAACTTAACCAAACCTAACTAGACTTGATCAATTTTTAAATTTTTGTTATTAAGAATAAAAAAAGTGCGCATATTGATAGTTCCCAAAATTTTTGTGATAGTTGAAACATTAAATTTTATTTTGAAGTGAGGTTTAACCTATAAAGTATGTTATATCTTATTACTACTACACAATGCCTACTGGCACAAAGTACTGCGGATGTGAGTGTAATTCAGTACCAGTCGACGCTTTAGTTCGCAGAGTAGGTGTCTATTCCCACAATATCATTATATAGTTAAAAATGTCATTGTAATGTTATTAAAAATTGTACCTATAAGTAACTGTAAAATTTTTTCGGCACCATACCTTTTTTATTGCACGAGAACTCTGTTACAGTCCCTGATTTTCCGTAGTATTGTACTAAATCTGTTACTACCTCTGTAAAAACAGTTTCTTGAATAGTTACAATAGTGGAGATCGACACTATAAAAAGCACCATATAACCAAACATTTTGTATAAAAATTCTTATATAAGAAATTGGTGAGGCACTTTTCTATCTTATATATACCACCAATTATGAAAAAAATTGTAGATGGTTTCTAAAAATCATGTCTTCTGATTTTATTTGACTAATAATCATATTACCCGTTCGTGACCATAAAGATTCCTATCGATGTGGAAAAAGTATACTTATTTTTTATACACAAAGCAATTTATTTGTTTACTTGCTATTTTAAATCCAACATGGACAATCTAGAAAAAAAAAATAATAACAATCTTAAACAATAAGACTGAAAAGAAAGGTGTAGATGATTACTCATTACTATTGAGCATTACTGTACGTATTTAGGGCTCCCCTTTCTAAGTTATTTCAATATTTACCAAGCTCTCTGCTGTCCGAGGGTAATTTTCTTATTCGAAATTTATGGTATACACAAGGCAAATGCGGTGAAATGATCTGCAAATATGCCCAACTGAAGGTAGTATCATAAATTTTACATGGTTTCTCTTATAGATTACAATTTTCCTATACAGGGTCGGAAAGTCCCCATGGTTCATCGGCCGTTACGTGTGAGCGATAAAGAAAGTCATAGAAATCCGTGCGATAGAGAAAGATGACTATAATGAAGGCGTCTAATAGTCACCGCCCATTTCGCCCTTCAACAAATAAGATCCACTTCTTATTTGTGGAAGGGCGAAATGGGGGGGGTAGTCGTCGTGAGGAGTGGGTTTTTGGGAATAGCTTGTAGTTAGGGAGTGCACGCGGCCTTTGAGTCGGCGGTGATTCGCGGGTCGGTGCGGGGGTTGGGTACGTCAAGGTCACCGCGGGGGACGGGTTTTTTGTCATTTGTCTTCTTTGGTTCTTCTCGGTCCTGGCTGTTCCTAGTTAGGGTAGTCATCCCGGGTCAATAAGTAGGTATCTAGGTCGTCTGTATGTGTCTGTCGCGTCAGGTACTAAGTCCGACTTGTCCAAGGAGGGGATTGTCGCGTCTCGCAGCCGCGTTCATGCATTTTTGAGTGCACGCGATTGCATGTTGCTAGAGAGAGATAGCAAATCATTCTTATACTTCTCTCTCTCTCTCTCTCTAAACCTCGGCTACACTCTGGGCCACTGGGTCGCTGCCAACTATTTAATTTAAACATGAACTTGTATAATTTGTAATTCAGGTTAGTCACCTAAACCCAAATTAATCGAATTTTCTCGAAATCTGTCAAATGGCTAACTCTAACCTTTAGATATACAATTATAGGTCTGTTCCAACAATAGTCAGGGATTGGTTCCGAACCGTCAGAAATGTGCATCCAACTAATTCTTGCGATATATTCACTGAAGACACATTTAGAACTTAGCTGGCTAAACATTTCGAACGGTTCCGAACCGCGCGCGCCATTATTCCATGGCTAGAAATTGGCCTCAATGATTTGGGATCGAGGGGGATTATCCCTCTTTATCCTGCCTCATCTCCTGTAGGCCTGGACAGCCTTCGTAGGTGGGCCCCATCCGTCGTCTACACCGACCGCAAATGCGGCCGGTGTAGGCGCTTTGTGGGACCTCCTTTTGTCCTGGCTGGGCCCCGCCAGCTAGGGCCCCTTCTTCTGGTGCTCTTCTTGCTTCGCCGGCACGTCTATGTAAACCCCGGGGGTGGTGTCATGTTTATGTGTGGTATGGTTGGGTAGGGCTGTTCCGAACCAATCCCTGACTCTTGTTGGAACAGATCTTATACATACTTATAAAACCCATGCCGCCCTAACTTTCGATGTAAGTTGGATCTGCAAAAAATCTTACTTATAAATTAAGGTCTATGCCATAGACTTTACAAACTATGATTTGAAGGTCTATGGTCTATGTATTTGTCAAATGTCAAATTTGAAATTGTCAATAATGTCAATGTCATTTTATATCTTTCTTTGGAGTACGTAGTTGTGAACTAGTGAAGTGAATTCCGTTTGTGTATGTGAAATAAGTTTTAATTTATAATTGATCTTGGTGTTGCAACTTGCCGAGTTGTGTAATATAAAATATATCATTCCTACAGCAAGTTTTATATTTTAAAGCGTAGATTACAGTTACAAAAATGGGGAAAGGATTTAACAATTATATGTGCAAAAAATTTTTCCATCCAGCATCTCGAGACAATTTAAAGAGGGTAAGATAAAGTGATGTAATTATAGAATTATATGAATCATTTTCTAACCATAATCATATTTCCAGGTATGGATGGCAGAACAGAAAGCCGAAGCATACAAAAAGAAACAAGAGGAACTTCGTCAACAATATGAAAAGGAACAAGATCTTCATGATAACAAAGCAATGCTTAGCAAGGAAAGCAAGGATAAGCTGAGTATAAGTTTCATGTATGAGCCCCCTCCTGGTGCTAAAAAGGAACGAGAGAGGGAAGACAATGAGCCCGAGTACAAATTCGAATGGCAGAGGAAGTATAATGCGCCTCGTGAGAGTTACTGTAAGGGCGATCAGGAAATTCGGGATCAGCCTTTTGGTATTCAAGTTAGAAATGTGAGGTGCATTAAATGTCACAAATGGGGCCATATTAACACAGGTATGTACGAAATTCTAGGTTTAAAGTAAAAATACTGATGATTTTGTATTTTTCAGATAAAGAATGTCCAATGTACAGTTTATCGATGAGTGCTGCAAGATCATTAGAAAATGCTACAGTAATGGACCAAAATTCACTGGTTCAACAAATGTTGGACGATGGTTTAGCATTAAAGAAGCAACATATAAGTATGGCAGAAACAACAAAACATCTTTTAGTAAGCGAAGATGAAGAGGAGAATTCTGAAGCAACATTCTTAAAGTCTCTTACAAAAAAACAGAAAAAGGCCTTATTAAAGTGAGTAAAATGAATATTTTGCATGAAACTAATTTTATTAACCATATTTTTCTTACTTTAGGAAATTGGAGAAACTTGAAAAAGAAGCTAAAGAACCGAAGAAGTCGAAGAAACGCAGTGACTCGGATTATTCTTCTGACGAGGAAAATAAAAGGAAAGTAGCTAAACCAAAATTTAAGAAAGAGGTGTATTCCAAAGGACACATGTCCGATTCTGAAGAAGAAAAAGACAAAAAGTTCAAGAATTACAGTGATAGAAAACGTGAAGAAAGAAGAAGAGAAGAAATGAAAGCAAAACAAAATGAAGAGAGAAGGGATAAGAGAACTAGGAGAAATAGTAGTGAAGAAAGGAAAGAAAGGAGAAAGGACAATAAAGAAAGAAGGCAAAGAGATAGTAGCGAAGAAATAAGCAGGGAAAAGAACAGACGAAGAGATAGTAGTGAAGACCGGAAAAATAAAAGAAAGATAAGTAGAAGTGATGAAAAAGACAGCAGTGAAGACAGGAGAAGCAGGAGAAAAGATTATATCAAAGAAAAGAAACAAGATGAAGAAAAAAATCGAGATAGGAGGAAGAGAAGCAGCAGTAGTGAAGAGGATAGTAAAAAAAGAAATAGGAAAAGATATAGCAGTGAAGAAAATAAGAGGCAGAGAAGGATTACAAAAAATAAAAAACGAGATAGGAGCAGTAGTAGTGATGAAGATAGCACCGAAGAAAGGAAGAGGCACTCTAGCACTGAAAGAAAAATTAAAAAAAGATCTTCAAGCGAGGATGAGAATAGGCACAGATCAAAAAAAAGAAGTTAATTTGGTTTAAATATTTATTGCTAGAAATAAAAAGTAACTACTACCCTAAAACATGTATATACAAAACTTTCTATGTTTGTGTATTATTTTATAAGCAAATGTGATTGAAACATTTATAAAATAAAATGCATACATTGTCACACGTGTTTCATTAACCTAACGTTTAAATAAATCTTAGTAACGGAAGAAAATAAATTGATTTACAAGGCATAATCTAATTCATATCTGATATATTGATTTTTGGGGTCGTTGGCAATCCTGGGATATCCAGCGACGAGGGCATCCTGTCCTCCAATGTACAGGGAATTATAGATTTTCCAGTAAACGTCTCTGACTTTCCGGGCGGGATGGAACAAACCCTGAACATAAGATAAAATAATGAACGGGTCACACCATTGTATAATTCTAAAATAAAATGTGATTTTTTTTTAAATAAAGTATGAGGATAATAATTATTCATAAATAGTACAAAATGGTGATGCTGGAGAGGCAAGCAGAGTTTGAGACACTGCGGCATGCAGTGCAATTGACGCAAATTGGAATATGTAAAAAACTTAAAAAGTTCTGTTAATCTACACGAGTATAATTAGAGAAATACCTAGGAGATTTTAAAAACATTAATTTTTGTGTGATTGCGGGTACTTGGAGTAAAAAGTTCAAATTTTGACAAAAAAGAGGGTAATCATTAGAGACCAACCGATTAATTGGCTTCGACATCGGCTTTGGCTAAAATTAAGCCGAACTTTTCACCGAAGCCGTTGACGTCGAGCGATGCTTTTTATTTTTCTACATCTTTTTTAGAATACCCGGTACCCGTTATGTTTATTATTAGAGTTTGTGTTTTATTATTGTGGTAAATTGTTTTATTATTATATGAAGGAATTCGGGTGCAAAACTCTAATACAAGTGTAAAGTGGAAGCTGTTGATATGTGCAGTTCATTGACAAAAGTAACTACTATTTATCGTATGATAAAAAATAGTGTAGAAGTAAATCTAAAAAAGAAAAAAGTGGAAACGAGGGAGGAACAAAATAGAAAGCGATAATGAAGTGAATTACTCCATATGTAGGAAAATTAATGGATTTTTCTTTAGAAATAAAATACCAACGATAAAGAAAATTCAAGCTGCAATAGCTGAAAATCAGGATATTCCTAAATTTTCTGATAAGGTTCTTAGAAGAATAATAAGTGACATGAACTTTTGATATTTGAAATGGAATCGAAATAGTATGCTCGTTTGAAAAGGATGAAATTGTGGTATGGCGAAAAAGAATACTTAGAAAAAATAAACGTAGTAAACGAAGGTCATACTGTATAAAAAGTTTGGCTGGATGGTAATATTAAGGGTAAAAGAAAAGCATTTTTAGATGTATTTTCTACTGGATTAAAGGCACCTTCTGGAAAAGGACCATAATAACACATACTGGAAGCGATACGGGACTTTTAGAAAATAGGGAAAATGTGACAGTGATAATATTTGTGTGAGATAATTATTTAGACCAGGAAAGGAAAAATTTTGAAATTTATCAATTACTGGGCGTGATTTTATTGTTGGAAAGTCTTCGGAATGATAATACAAGAGGCGTCTCATCTCGTGGGTCATGAAAAAAGTATAGCGTCATTGTTTTTTTTATCAACAAATAGGTCAAAAATTCGTATTTTTCCTTCTACGTGGTATTGTAAAAAAACTATTAATCTTACTCATCTTGAAAATGAGACTTTATAAGTTAAAATTGCTTTATAAACAAAAAATTTATTGCAAAATTAAACGGAAAATGTGCTTTTTTTTTAATTGTTAATAACTTTTTAAATAATTAATAAAATTTTACTAAACTTTCCTAAAATGTGTTTTTATATCCTTAAGAGATGTGCAAAAAATGGGCTCGATCGGTCGAATAGTTTCTGTAAGATTCCATTTATTTATCAGATTTTTGCAAAAAAGGCCCATTTTCAAATGACTATTCCGGGGGAAAATTAATTTTTTTTTCAAATTTAGTTGTATATAATTGTTAACAAATAAAAGGCACTTTTTTCCCTAATAAACAATTAAAATAACTCCGCGGTTTTTAACTTTTGAAAGAAGTTATATACACCATTCGAAAGCTCGTAAAAAATCTACAAATTGAAAAAAGTTTCTACAATGACCAATAGGAGTTATCCATTTTTTTACAACCACATTTGAAAAAATTTTTTATTTATTTTAACTAGAGGATACTTGGTGCCCCTTAGAAGAAAATGAGCCCAAAAAGATTGTTTTAGTCATAACCCTGCCCCCCGGAATAGTAATTTGAAAATGGGCCTTTTTTGCAAAAATGGGATAAATAAATGGAATTTGCAAAAACTATTTGACTGATCGAGCCCATCTTTTGCACATCTCTTAAGGATATAAAAACTCACATTTTGGGAAAATTTGGTAAGATTTTATTAACTATTTACAAAATTATTAACAATTAAAGAAAAAGCACTTTTTCCGTTTAATTTTGCAATAAATTTTTTGTTTATAAAGCAATTTTAACTTATAAGTCTCATTTTAAAGACGAGTTTCTCTAGATCAAATCACCTGTTGAATATTTTTTGCTAAGATTAATAGTTTTTTTACAATAACGCGTAGAACGAAAAATGATGAATTTTTGACCTATTTGTTGATAAAAAACAATGACGCTATACTTTTTTGTTGACTCACGAGATGAAACGCCTCTTGTATTATCTTTCCCAAGACTTTCCAACAATAAAATCACGCCCAGTAATTTTCACGATTTCTCGATGATTTTTCACCTTTATTTCTTGGTCTAATTGTAAAATATGTAAGTACTAAATATATTAATAATCAACGTTGCAATTCCTTGCGGGTGGTAGTTCTGTAAAACGATGCCCAAAAGGGCATCGTTTTACAGAAAACACTTAAAATTTAATAACAAAATGTTGCTAAAACATTATTGAAGTTTCCTTAATAAAACCTCTAAAAATAATAGATGTTATGTTTTATTATCTTTTTTCCGTATTTACTATATCTTGTTGCCTTCTAAACAAATACGCCTATGGATTTTCAATCCCCGCACACTTCCGTTGCATTTTATTATGTTTAATTTCTTAATAAAATTTAAAGTTGTATTTAGTGAAGTGATTCTTATAGTTATTTATTTGTATTTAATGACAGCATAGTGAGGTTGTGTCTTCACTGTTAAATTCCTGTAATCAAAAACACATATACGAATGAAGAAGGATGAAATTTGCTTTAGCTCTCAATATGTACGATTTGAACCTGTCCAGCAGTGGGGTATGAAAGTTACTAACAAAAAAGGTTAAAAAAAGTCACTTAAGATATTTTCATGTTACACTCACCTGTAAAGTGTACTGTAGAATCTTAATGGGCCCCAAAGCCACTCTCATCCCCTCGATGGCATCCATGAAAGCCTGTACCAAATGTGGCGACGTCTCGAATATATTGGGCCACACGTAGTTCAACAGGTGAATGAGAGCATCCTCGCAACCAAAACCATACACTCCCAGAGCCATGTGTTTTATTGCGGCACAAGCCGTCTGCCTGTGCACTAAATCTCTGTCCATCAACGCATCTTCTAGCAATGGCGCCACCGCGTAAATGTAATCCTTACCCATCTCCCCGATGTATTCGAACAAGAAAGAAAGCGACTTCAAGACGCCATTCTGAACGTTTAGTTCTGGCACTCTATACTCATTCATCAACGCGGGCAGTACCGTAAAGGGTGAGCAAGTCTCAGCGACAATAGCGATAGCAACGGTCGTACAGACTCTGTTCTGGCGTTCCTGCACTTTTAAATTATTGAGGAGCGTGGCAAGTACGTCGTGAGGACCGATAGCCTTGGCGATGTACCCAAAAGTATTGACCGTCGCTCTACGGATCGCCTTCTTGTGTGCCTTGAGGAGTTCTAGTAACTCGAAGCAGATTCTCATCCATTCCCTTGCAGAGACGTACTCCGGGCCCCTATCGGCGATACGACCCACTAAATCGATGCAGTTCTCTTGTACTTTCTCGTGTCTGTTCTTGAGGATGGGCGTAAGACGTGGTAGCAAGTCTTTGATGGGTGGCGTCATCTTCGTCATGCCAATAACGTTAACAATGGCTTTCAAGGCACCCAGGATGGAACCGAGTACCTCAGGATACTCCTCTCCTAAGTATTCATAAAGAACAACACCCAGATGGCCCATAAGTTTTTCTTCTTGGCAAGTTTTCATCACGACGGCGATTCTGGAGATGAGATCGGCAGCTTGCTGCCGTACCTAGGAAAATAAAAATAACATAAAAATATCAAGAAATGAATTATACGAGATGTTGCAATAAAGTAGGTCAAGATGTTTGATGTTCTTTGGGTGAAACAAGGCTTTTACACCGTGACAGTAATTTTTTGTGAAAGTGAAATTTTTATGTGCTGGAATAGATAAAATTTAAAAACAGCTATTAACTAAAATCCTTTTTTAAATTTAAATTCTGATGCTCCATATTTTGAAAAAGAGGTGCTTAAGGGGGGAGATACAATTAGATGATCAAAAAAAATTGTTATTTTTTTTACTTAAGATAGTAAATTTATCGTAGAATTCGCATGTAAAGTTTTAGAATGAAATTTGAAGTTCTTCTATTTATTTTTGTCCTTTTTTGAAGAAACAGTGTAGCACATATTTCAGCGCTGTCGACTCAGAGACCTGTCTATTGTGTCTTGTTTTGAAATACCTGGGACGTATTTATTTATAAGGTATACACCAACAGAGGAAGAGCGCGCATCGACCCTGAAATTCATGTGTAGTGGTCAGTATAGCTCTACTGCTCGACGAATTTCTCGAGACAGCATTTCTGAAGCTTGTGTTGATGATAACCTAAAAATAGTTTGACCGATTTAGCTAAAACTTGCAGGATTTCTTCTTTATATCAGCTTCTAGTTAAACTAAAAAAAATTGCAATTTATATTGCAAAACTCTAATAATTATTGCAAAAATTACCAAAATATTTCAGAAAATTTTTAATTTTCCTGAAAAAACATGCCAAATTTAAATTGTTTTACTTTTTTTAGTTTAATGACTAATTGTAACTGTTTCTTACATATCTTTTTTTTTTGTGGATTTTTATAAAACAAAATAACGATGTTCAGGATCAACACCAACGTATTCCTAAGGGTCCTCCTCTTTGTGATAACATATATCCGCCATTTTGTTTGAAAACTAAGAAAAATTTTTTTTATATATACTTCAACGTCGTCTTAAGCCTACAAAATTTCATTACAATTGAATAAAAATTCTTAAAAAAAAAATTAGAAAAATGCTTTTACGACCCATCTAATTGTATCTCCCCCTTTAAATGAAAAATGGCATAACGAAAGTAGTTAACGACTTTAAAATACGCCGAAGAAACGGTTTTTAATGTTATACAGTAAAACTCGGTTATAGCGAGCATTCACGGGAACGCAAAATTTGCTCGTTATACGCGAGTGCTCGTTATAGACGTCGCCGTCGCCAACTATGCTGAAAATTATTGGACACATAATTATAGCTGCATTGCACTTGTATTTTTATTTTCAAACATATAATATTATTTATCTACATAACATAGATACGTATAACTGTAGGTAAGTTACATTACATAGCATTTATTATTAAAGAAAAAATTCTATAATATTTTTCTGCACCACTCTTTTGCTTAATATCCCATTTAAGAACTGCTCGTTTTCCGGACATTTGAATTCCACGTATGATACTATGGTTTTTAACGCAGAGATGGCTTCAAGTGTCGAAGGAACTGTAACCTCATCACATCCCGTCTCTTCTTCATAACTTTCTTCATCTATTGATGGGTTAATCGTTAATTGTGTGATTTGAATTTCATTTGGGAATTCAGCCACTTCGAGATTTTCGTCTACCATCTCGTACTAAACTAAGTCAAAGACGTCAAAATCGGATATGTTGTTATTTCTACTAGTCATAACAGGTTTTTGCGTTCATTTGATGTCATGTGCGTAAAAACTGGTTCTACGATAACTCGTTATAGCTGAGCTCGCTGTTTACGATAACTCGTTATAGCCGAGATCACTGTTGTGCGGGACCAAAATCAAAGTTCGTAATAGCCAAGCCCTCGTTATATACGAGTTCGTTATAGCCGAACAGGAATACACATGTTACATAGGGAATTCGGAAGGGACATTTCAATTTGCTCGTTATAACCAAGTGCTCGTTATATCCCCTGCTCGTTATAAGCGAGTTCAACTGTACTTAGAATGGTAGGTACGTCGGCATTCACTCGTGTTGTGCATGCACAAAACTGCATGTAATCTGACCACTGTTGCTTCATTAGTGCTTATAATTCGTAAATAAACAGTAAGATTTTGTAAAATTCTTTATATACAGGGTGTTCCTAAATAAGTGTCCCAACGGAAAACTGTAAATTCCTCTTGAAAAAAGAAACATTTTTTTTCCTCTTCCATTTTTTTCTCCAGGCGTTCGTTTTCGAGATACACGGTGTTAAAATTTATTTTTTTTTTGTTTTTTGCCAATATCTTAGGAACTGTTTGAACTACAGGACTGAGCTTTTGTATACACATTACCACTATTAATAGTTACTTTTTGGCACCCTTTCCGAATTCATTAGACCATGCCAGTGGTGGAGATCTTAAGATATCGTAAGGGTTTTTCCCCCTTAACTTCTACGCCACTGGAAAAATTGACATTTGACAGCAAATTCTGAAGCACCAATGAATTTATACACAAAAAGAGTTCTCTTGGTTCATTGCTTAAAGTCAACTGTTTTCAAGAAAAATTACTTTTTATGAACAAAACCAAACATTTTGCTAATGTTTCGAAAATCTTTTGTAATTCAAAAAATAGTTAGTAATAATTAATAAATTTAACGAAATTTAACAACAGATAGGATTTTAACTTTTTTTATATCAATTAATTTAGCAAGTACAATTTACAAAAACTATTCAAAAATACATTCGCAGACCTCAAAGCTCAGTCCTGTATTTCATACGGTTCCTAAGGTATTGGCAAAAAACTAAAAAAAAGTTTTGACACCGTATATCTCAAAAACGAAAGCCCGGAGAGAAAAATGGAAGAGGAATAATAGTTTCTTTTTTCAAGAGGAATTTACAGTTTTCCGTTGCGCCACTTATTTAGGAACACCCTGTATAATTATATTCAGAAGGATTCGGACTTGGCTGGCAAATTTAAAATTATTCATGGAAAAAACAAAAAAAAAAATGTCTTCCTGGGATTTGATCTTCCAACGCCCAAGTGAACATAAGTTTGTAGGTAGAGCTTCTCAGCTCTGCACCATGAAAACTCTCACGAAATATTTCTGATATTGAGAATTAACAGTTGAATTTCCAAGTCATTTTGGAGGTAAACAATGAATTTCATTAATTGTGTTGAAAATTGGAACGGGAACCGAGAAACAAAATAATAAAAAGAACGTTAGAAGCGTAAATAAAAGATTGAGTTTGATTGTTTTTTGCTTCGTCTTGTCGTGTCATTATTTTTATAATAAAAGTCATTTTCTGTAAAACCATAAATTAAAAAATAAACTCGTTTTTGTTAAACAAAGAAATAGCAATTTTTATTACAAATACAGTCCACAAAACCTGTTTTTATAAACAAATTGAATTAATTTCCTTTATTATAAAGCTGTCCGTAATAAGTTGAAAAGGCCAATAACAGAAAACGTTTTACATTTTCACTGGCAAGTCTCGATCTTTGTCTAAACAATGGAATAATTTTCACCGAGGAGTTTTTTCTAAATAAAAATTTACTAGAGAAATTGTGAAAAAATCTTAAGACGTCAATTTTCGTATTAAATGTATAATAATTTTTTAACAAAGTAATTAAAATTATTAAGTAAAAATTACCTTAGCAGATTTGTTGTTCAACCTCCATAGGATCGTACCGCAAATCTGCGGCAAATATGGTTTGACACGTTTTCCTAACTGATTAACGATCGTACCAAAACCATTCAACATCACCACATCTTCCGTTGTCTGTTCCTGGAAAGCATATAAGATACCGTCAATCAGCTGCTCCTCCAGCCTAGAATCTATATCGGCAGCCCCCAAATTGCCCATAATCTTCTCTATGCTCTCCATGACCATCTTTCTGTACTGTTCGTTCTCGTCTTTCAGATCGTCTACGATCCTATTTATGATTTCTGAAGCCCCAACTTTGTTGGCGATCTCCACGGTCGTGTCTACGAGTTGCCTGTAGTTACGCCTGTCCAATGCCATTCTGTGATTCCAGAAGTGTTTGAAGAACTGCGGCAGGATCTCTTCCTTAATATACTGTGCCTCGACACCGTCAGTGGAACAACACTGCTTCACGACTTTCAATACGATCTTCTTCATCTCCTCATCGGGAGACTGGAACTCCCTGATCAGGATCAACATCACTTCCCTGGTGTAATAATTGGCATATTCTGCATCCATGAGGGGGATAAGGTAACCGATGGCCTTGAGGAAGGCCGCGAGACCCTTACCGCGGTGGGTACGGATACCCTTCCACAGGGGCTTAAGGACAGAGTCAAAACTTTCGATACCTGCAAGGTAAAATAATGTTAACAAAATCTACATAACACCTAGGTTATATTAGCGGTTTTAAAGATTTCACGGCCCATACTAATATTTAAGGATTCTATTAACAAAATGGAAATAAAGTGTTTTCTAATTTTTGAATTAATTCTCTTGAAATAATCTCGTGTTCAAAATGTTAATAAGATATCTGCCGCACGATAAACATACATGAATGGATTGGCGGCCTGTGTCAAAAGACAAGAATTACTGCGCCACTATTATAGCAAATAAGTAGTTTTTAATAATTAGCAGATAATAATTTTTCTCTTTATTATTTAATTTCTTTTCTTAAATATACATTTCTTGTTAATCTATGACAGTTAAAAAGTGGATATGCGCGATGTACAAAGAAAATCACTCATGTTCAATAAACAATGCGCTGCTAACTTAAGGGGCTTAAGGGGCCACTGTGATGGGATTTGCTTTAATTTAAAGTTTATACCTTCGAAAATATGTGTATAAAATTTTAAGTCAAAATTACGAAAATTGACCGAGTCATATTAGTGAGGCAGGTGCGCTAGGGACAGAAGAAGAATCGTGAGCAAAAGGGCAATAAAATAAAAAATAATGCCAAGGGCACCACTGGAGATGTAGAGGGAGAATCATCATATGGCCTAGGATCCGATAGTTTGATGAAAGCGTAAATATGTTAGTAAAACGATTCTATAGTAAAGAAAATGGTCCAAAAACTTTAAACGCGTTTTCATCAAAACGACTTTTTTCAAACTTTTGATGCGACATACGTTATCTGTAGTATTTTCGCCTCCTGTTCACGAATCCGGTGTCAGAATTGAGCTATCACATCATAGGAATTTCCTGACCTCAAAAAACCGATCAAAAATAGCAAAAATTCACGCAAAAGTGCTAGGAAAAGTACAACATTTTTTTTTTCTATATTCAAATGTTCGTTTATATGGATAAGACCCCGCTGAACGTGAATCTGCGGTTAGAATTGATGGTTCTTTTCTAATAAAAAAAAAAACGGGTCAATTATGTTCAGCATTCCGTGAATATTCAAAAAAGAACAGTTTCGCGCCAAATCTGGTATACGGGGGTTTTAGGAGTCGTTGATTACGAATTCGAGGTCAGAATTGCAAAATTCATTTTATAATACTTTTATTTACTTTACAACTTGAGTACCCAATCATGTTTTAACCTTCTTAAAGTACATAGGTAGTTGATTAAAATTTTAAAAACGAATTTTGTAAATCTAATCTCGGATTCGTGATCAATGACCCTGAAACCCCCATATATCAAATTTGGCGCGAATCTGTTATTTTCTTTAAATTTGGTCGGCCACCTTGGATCCGTCATCTTGAATTTTGCAAAATTGACCTCAGATCCGTGATCAGTGACCCTGAAAACCCTCGTATACCAAATTTGGCACGAATGTTGTTTTTTGAAAATTTGTTCCGCCATCTTGAATTTTGCAAAATTGACCTCGAATCCGTGATCAGCGACCCAGAAAATTCCCGTATACCAAATTTAGCGCGAATCTGTTATTTTTTTATAATTCTTGATATATGACCACAATTGACCTGTTTTTTTTGAGGTTAGAAAAAGAACCATCAATTTTGACCACGGGTTCAGATTCGGTGGGGTCTTAAGCATATAAATAAACATTTGAATATAGAAAAAAAAAAAATATTGTATTTTCCCTAGCACTTTTTCGTAAATTTTTGCTATATCTGACTAGTTTTTTTAAGTTAAAAAATTCCTGTGTTGTGATAGCTCAATTCTGACACCAGATCAGGAGGCAAAAATATGAGTAACATATGTCGCATGAAAAGTACTTTTTTTTGTGTGGCTTTTATCAACCGATTTTCAATTTTTTTTCAAGGGGCAAAAAAGTGAAAAAATTCTTCAATCGGTCGACATTTTGTAAAAAATCAAAATAAAAAAATGGCTACTTGCAACGATAACTACATTCATATAGGTTCTAATGCAATATGATTTATTTTTTTTTCAGATAACCTGTTTTTGGAAAATCGATGCGATGATGGAGGGGAATTTTTTTTTAAGGTTTTACGGCAATGCTCATAACTTTTTTTAACAAAAATTTACATGAACCAAGTTGAATATATATTAATAAAATAAAAAAAAAACTATCCCCATATTCCTTAATTTTCCCAGTCTAAAAAATTAAAGAAAATTGTTCACTTTTTTGGCCATCACAGTGGCTATCCCCCTTAATTAATCGCTTCTCTCCCAATTTTTCCCTATTTTCCAATCTGTCATAATTAATTCCTATTAACCGAAAGTGTGTGTTTGTATGCGGTACAATCCACAAGAAACAGCAATCCTTACATAACACCAAAGCATAGGCAAGTGCCATTATTGCCTCTTTTCATTAGAATTTTGACCATACACAAAATTATACTAAAAGTCAGTAGACTAGTGACAATATAGCACAAAATAAAAATAATAAGAAAAAATAGTCTTATTTTTTTTACCCATCACTCTAAATTTCCAAAACACCCTGTATACGGTTATTAAGGAATGCGATACTCGAAAAATTTAAGATAAAAATAACTTCTAAGTACAGATCCTTCACAAATTATTACAAGCCACGTGATCACCGAGTATAGGCAACCAACATTACATGATTGGCACTGTCAACCAAAAATCTCTAAATCTTATATTCACCAATACTAGTTTCATTTACAATAAACAATGACAAACTGTTGCAGCTATGCCCTAGAAAATGCAAACACCGATCGTGTAATGCAATCTTAATCCTATTTTAATTTCACCGAAATTTAATTGCTAACATGAAGGAAATAAAATTACTGTTCCAAACGAAATTACTGGTCACGTAGCATGTAATTATTTAAGAAGGCTCTGTATTGGAGTTATGTTAAGAGGGCTATATAGCAAATAGGCAACCAGCAATATATTTCTATAGATTTTATTTCACAGTTTGTCTAAATATGAATCAATGCACAAATAACAGACTTTACTCCACTCTAATGCAGATTTTCTATAAAATGAAGCTAGTTTAAAACTTAAATTACTTTTTGTTGTAAAGAAATTTGTAATTTATCGCTTTTGAACAAGCGACAAATAAGTAAATTACAAATTTCTATACACCAAAAAGTAATTCAAGTTTCAAACCAAGTCCATTTTAAAGAAAATCTGCTTTAAAATGGGGGAAAGTTTGTTATTTGTGCATTGACTCATATTTAGATAAACTGAGAAATAAAACCTATAAAAATGTATTGCTGGTTGCCTATTTACAGTGAAAACCTTCTAAAATGTATTTTTCTAACTGAAATTCAAATATTAGTCGTTTTTTTTTATTCATAACTAAATCTGGAATATGTACTTCAGCTTTATTTATGTATATATTTATACCTATTTTATTTTACTGAATTTATAATAAGCAAATACGTCTCATACGAAAGTAATGTCACACGTAAAGCTTAGAGAACTGAGTGACTTACCGTATGGTGTCGCTGCCTCTGCTAAAGCCGCAATACCCAAAGCAGTAATCGTCCTAACTTTCTGCTGTTCGTCTACCAATCCATGCTCGATAATCTCTACCAATGATTTCAAGTGCGGCAAAATGGCGCAACCCATAAGGATAGCGATCTGCTGAACGATCTTGATACCAGTATGCCTGGCCTGCCACGACTTCTTCGATCGACACACAGCCTTCAAAAACGGCAATAGCGAGGGAATGCCCAAGGCGGATGCTACCACGGCAAAAGCCCTCGCCGTGGTGTTCCTCACGTACTCGTCGATGTTGTCGATATCGGGACGCATCGTAGAGATCATAGTGGCCAGACCAGCAGCCTTAGCAAGATTGGAGATAATCTCACGACCCTCCACTCTAGCATAGTAATCTTCATCGATGAGAAGCGGCTCAATAACGACCAAAATTTTGTGGACGTAAGGTCTGACGAGATCGTCAAGTTTGTACAAGATCCTGTCGATGACTTTGACAAGCAAGTGACGTTCTTGATCCTCCAAAGTGGGGCTCATAAGCAGCGGGAGTATCTGGTTGAACAACGGACCAGCGCCGAATTCTCTAGCTTTGTCCGTTATCTGTCTCAGAGCAGCTTTACGCATCGGTGGAGTTCCATTCTTAATTTTCAGCAAAAGCTTCATAATTTTACGTTCCTTTTGCTCTTCGGGGCTCAAAGCTTCTTCATCCACATCAACTAATAATTTATCAAAGTACTGCGCATCTTCAGGCTTCATGAACGGCAAATTTTGTCCCTTTGGCTGGTTATCCAGATATTTCGCGGTTTTATCTTCGGTTTGAATGAAGAAACCTTGAGGGGTACCCCCGACTAGAGGTGTTGGAGTAGCTGTCAGTTTTCTTGCTGGTGTTCTGATGGGAATGTAACCAGCAGGGGGTGGAAGGACCTTATAACCTGGAGGGAACATGGCATCCAATTCCTCGTCAGAGTAGGGACGGTTACGTTCATCTATTTCTCGTTCCCATCTGTAGGCTTGCAGTTGTTCGGGAGTCATTGAAGCCAAGTGACCTAAAAAAAATATTATTAAAAAAAGTCTCTTTCAGACCTTTACAGTACGAACCCTAACAAAAATATGTTCGGGCGAACGATAATTTTGGCAATAACGACAACAAATCGGCAAAATACGTATAAAATATTTTATGTAAATTATGTAAAAATAAAACTAGTGTATGAAGAAAAATATATTACCTGGTGTTGGGGTGCTAATCGCCATGGCCTTCGGTCCAACTGGCGTGGACCCTCCAGGAGTCAACATTGGAGTCATATGTCCAGGAGTCCCATGCGGTGTTGATGGAGTCATTGCGCCCGGCGTCATTGCTTGTGTCGGAGTTGCAGAAGGGGTCTCATCCCACCTAGACCTACGTTTCGAAGCCCCAGGTGTAGGTGTCTCCTGAATCAAATCAGCCCCAGTGCGATCTGTCCTGGGTGTCTCAGCCCAACCACTGGAATGTCCAGGTGTCTCGCGTTCGGTTTTCGGAGTTTCATCCCAACGGTTCCTTCTGGACGTGCTCTTGTCTCCGCCGTGACCCGGTGTTTCACGGCCAGGAGTCGCAGCACCGGGTGTGGCATCCCAAATTCTTGTGGATTGCCCAGGAGTAGCTCCAGGAGTTTCACTGCCTTTGTGACCGGGAGTTTCATCCCAACGGATATCTGCAGGCGTTTTCTAATAACAAAAAACAAAAAAGTGTATGTCTAATAATGCAATAAGTTCATGTATACATAATTAATGGTCTCTAAAATAATATAAACTTACGTCTCCTTCCCAAACTGGAGTCGCCGCGTTGCTACTGGTAGAAATACTGAGCGTTTTTTTCTTGGTTGGTACTACAACCTCATCTACAGTCTGATCCCACCTTCCTCGTTTCTTGGGAGTCGATTTGGCTTCCCCATTGGTAATTTTCAGCGATCCATCTTTGGCCTTTTCAAATATCTTCTTGCGAATCTGGAAAACAGGATGGGATATTGGTCACAAGTCCGTTTTCGATGCGGAATTTGTGCCAGAAAATAAATGAGATCGGAAAGCCCAGAAAAGTGGGTGTAAGTAGCTCCAATTCAATGGAGCTGATGAAATTTAGAAAAAAAGAAAACAATTTATACTTACCTCATTCTCCTCACCCTTGAGCATCTGCTCTTTCATAATCTGCGAATAGCTCCTCGATTGCAAGTCTGGCGTTTTCCCACCTGAAAACACACCATCACAATCGGTAATTAGTAAGGGGAAGCACTTTGTGGCTAATTATTTGCCAGATGGGCAATTATTTTAATTTCTGCAGTATCTGTTCTTAGGATTTCTTTTATATGAAACTAGATTTGTACCACCACATTCTCTCATTACATTTTCAGACTGTTTTTAGATAAATTTCCAAATTTGCAAAAATTGCTTCTAAATGTTAATTTTTGACATAAAATATTCCCAGAAGCATACAATTTTCATCTAATCGTAATTCAAATGATTGTCCCGAGTAAATTTTTGTTAGTTAAGGAAAATTTATTTTGGAACTTTATACATAAAAAAAATCTTGTATATTATTGTAGACAATAGAAATTTAAAAAAAAAGGTCTTTTACAACCAATGAGTCTAGGCTCAAAACATCTATAGTGAGAGTTAATAATTGATTGGAACTTCGATGACTTTTGCTTGAGCTGATGTGAATAAAATATAAATTAGTATATCGTCCGAGAAAGTATGTGGTAGGCAAATCTGGATACGTACGTGTCTGGCAGCTCCATCACAACAAAATCTGGCTGATTCTTGAAAAACAACTGGTCAAATCGAACCTAGAAATAGGCTGGGGTAATTAATAATTTTCTATACTTCGCACACACTCTTTCACTCTTTAACAAAGGTTTTGTTTACCAACTTAACTGATACCCTTCCATTATAAACACGTCGAGCATTACTTCTTTTTAGGCGACACACCCCTAAATGGTGACTTCTCCCAAAGAACAAAATCATTATATTAGTTTCTTTGTACTTGTGAATATATAAATATGCCTACATTATTTTTTTTATTCGATGTAGCCTTTCAACCTTCACATACATACCAACAGTTATTCCTCATTCATATACCCCAATAAATGAATTGCAAAATAAGGGATGTTTCTAATTAAATTTATGTTTACTGCCTGTGACAGTATATTTTTTACAGCAAATACAACATTTTAAGACGTACACTCTTAAGATATTAAAAGTGCATTAGTTACAATTGACTTTTTGCTGGCTAAATAGATTATCTTTTGCTTCACATTATTTACTGTTAGTTTGAGGAAATGATTAGATATTGTTTAAGTAAATTTATATTATATTTTAAAACATCCCTTATTTTAGTACAATAAAAAATCTACATATATTTTCAATAGTAATTTTAAAAAGTGTATGAAATGTAGACAAATATACTCACCATCTGCAAATGGATCCACTCTTTCTGGAGAAATGATCATCATTCTTCTTTTCTGTCTATATTCATCTTCCCTATCTGCGATCGTTGCTCTCCTACGATCAGCAAACGGATCATAATCCTTTTCGCTCTGAAATAAAATAAGTGCATACAGAAATGTATTACAATTATAAATGTAATACTGAACTTACTTGAGCGACATCGTTTAACAGGGCCACTGGCGCTCCTAGCCCTGTCCTCTTTTGAGAGTAACCCATGTCTTCTTCATCGTCTTCAACTTCATCATTGGCAGCGATAGATGTCACATATCCTTCATATTTACCCTTGCCTGTTTCATAAATATCGCTATCAAAATAGCCGCTCTCCCCAAGCTTTGCAACCTTGTCGGGTGTTTCGACTGGTATTTCTTTCTTCTTTGACTGAATTTCTCGAATCTGCGCCTCAATGTCTAAAAATAAAGAGGCCATACACTAATAACTCTGCAATTAAAATTGAAATTTTTACCTTCGTGGGTCCGCGGAATATTCTCCATGTTTGTTCACTTCAAAAATCGACACAATTAATCTCAGTTGACAATTATTTGCACATTTGCATTTTCTGATGATAAATATTCGTAAATACTATACCACTATACACTTTAATATACACCACCACTACTCAAAATGGCCGGTGAATGACGTACGCACTACGCAGTGACGTGGTCGGTAAATGAAATGTCTGTTTTTACGTTAGAACAAATCAATACTCGCCCTCTACTGAGCAGTAGGAGAAATACATTTATATTTTATATGTTGCCCATAGAGGGCCAAACACAAAAAAGTATAAACATTTAGACAATCCTGAAAAAGTGTGTACGATTTTTTGGAATTTGCTTGTACTTTGTGCTTCTTGAATAGAAAATAAGGTAATTCTCTTTTTACATTTGTAAAATCGTAGATTTGTATAATAATGTAAGCGACAATATTAATATTATTAATAGTATTCGATTTCTGTTTATACTTTGCAATTTTTTAATTTTATATCTACGTACGAGTTTATGTTTAAATTCTTATAACCTAATTACCCGTGGCATTACTAATTTATTTAAAAATATGTTTGGCTGTAGGCCTTTATTAGAACGCAAAGAGTCTTAATTTAATAAAAGAAAATTGGCAGCTCCTTTTATCTCAATCGAGGCATTCTCATAAACGATAAATTGAGTTTGAAGACACGTGGGAGTCTGGAGTAATAAATTTAATATTTAGAAACAGCGCAAGGGCGTATTTTTATTTCAGTGCCTGCTAAACCTGGAGACAATGACAGGTTATTAAAATTTTCCTATCGTATATCGAGGCCGTAGCAAACAAAATTGACTTGATTAAATTGAACATGGGGATTTTACGATCCGATGCGGGAAAATTGACGTTGAATTCACAATTAAATTTGTCTGAGAAAATTATGTTAATTTCGAGGTTATTTTTCACAGATTTTTTTTTTTTAAATAGACTAAATTTACCCTTTATCCTATTTCATTTCATTATCATTGTTTTTATAAGTTACCTACTTTATTACAATAAAATTATGAAACAATTTTCAACGTTATCTAACTAAAATTGAAACCATGAACTCACTTTTTGTGTATATGTAAAATAGTCAAAGAAAATAGGAAAGTTAAAGGAATTTCAAGAGAAAACCTGCTTTGTATCCCTATATTATGTATACAGGGAGTATGGGCATGTAAAAAATGAAGAAGCACATCTTCATCATCCAAATATAAACATTTTTTTGCTCTTGAAGCCAACATTTTTAACGATATAGGGTGTTGCAGGTTTCAAAATATAAGATATATCTTAATTGTTATATCTTAATTGTCTTCTAAACAAATAAAGCTGTTGGCAGTGCCTGATTTACAGTGGTGGGGGCCTGTAGGCTGAAAATTGGTGGGGGCCTATTCTAGAAAAAAAATATCCCAAAAAAAATTGAATTAAATAAAAGTAAATTTTAACCCACTTTCCCTAGGGACACAAGATGTATAACTAGAAATGAAGAATTAAAAGC